TTTCTGTCTTTTTTCCCTTCTTTCTGTAGACATTGTGGGGAAAAATACGTTCATATGCCTTACGGTTCAAATGCAGGGCCACAACTGTGTTATACCACAATCATATCCATGTTTTTGTTGAAACGTTTGTTCATAATTTCATCTTGTCTATCTGATTTTTTGAACCAAAATGTTGCTGTATCTTTAACCTGATTTAAAGATTTTTTCTGGACAAACTTGGACTGGACCAAAGGTTTTCTTTACTTTACAAAGAGTATGTCTCTTTTTGGCCTCCGTCACATCTGTTTTTTAAGATAGAAAAGAGAGGACCACCCTCATTCAGCCAATCAGCTCTCAGTCCACAGCCATAATGTATAACAAACCAGTTGGTAACACAATTACAATTATAAAAATAGAATGAGTATTAAAGTTGAATCAATTAACGACAATATTTTGATCCATATTATGCAGAAAGAGAAGAGATGATTAGAAGTACACAATTGAATATACAGTGGCTCAGTCGTTAGAGCCTTGGCCTTTGAGCCTGAACGTCATGGGTTCGAGACCACAGCGAGACCTTCTCCACCGACTCCACAGATGTCTGCTGTTGTTGTGTCCTCGGGCAAGACACTTCACCTACTTTGCCCATAAGGAGTGCAGAAGTAATGTTCGCTGTATGCATTGATGTGTGTATGTGTATTCATAAAAAAATGAAATTTCCCAACTGTGAGACAATTAAAGAACCTTCTTAACAATTTTGTCTTATTATACTCAACTAAATAAAGCAATTGACTTGAATGATATAATCAAATGACTTAAGTTGAATAATCACACATCACATTTTAATATAGCAGCATTTTAAAGCGCCCCATGGAATTGTTTTGTTAGGTGAAGTGGCTTTCAAAATGTACACTCTAGTGACTCACAATATATGCAAATAATATGTTCTAATTATATGATAAAGATGTTGTGGTCTGAGTCTGAATAACACACAAAAAGCAAAAAGCAACTGTGTACTCATCACCAGAGTATTCTATCACTCCCCAACCCGGCTTTGCTTTGACTTGGATTGATGTATTTTTGCACATTCTGTCGCATCACAATTCCTCGTCGTGAGCTACTGTATATTGCCCCCAAGTAATTTCCCTCGTGAGCCAAAGTTTTGTGCCTGCTCTGATCAACGAGAGAAGACTCAACTCTAGCTCCTTAAAGTGAGACCCGCAGCGGCCCTTATCAGAGCAAAAGTCTGGTTAAAGATTGTAAATGTGAGAATCATGGCATGGATCTGATCTGCTCCTTGGAGGCCTGTTACGGGGGCAGGTAGCCTCAGGGACCACCACCCACTCCACTGGAGCCGTGTCAATGTGCTGTGACTAATCCAGCAGATCCCACCTTCTTCTCAGGCCCAATTAAAAGAGGATTACCCGGGATACGAGTCCAAAAAACGGATCTCAGCAGTCCGACCTGCATTCCCTGGACAATGCGGGTGTTTTTGTAGCCACCTGAACTATAGAGTGAAGGAGGAGAATATCATAGACTGCAATTTAAACGCTCCCCAAAGGCTGTGATAATGAGTGTGGCATGAAGGAGGAGACATACATTAAAGTTCATGGTGTATTTTGTGTCTACTGCATTACAGATCAGTATAATCTCACAGACAAATATGGATTATTTTTGCACTTTGTGGTTCTTAAAGATGAAATATGAAATACATTTTTAACCAGTCCATGTGAGAGGGATTTGCTTTGTCATTTAATGTTTTAGAATGTGAATTAATGTCTTCAGAAGAATTATGCATGATGAAATTCCTCATGCTGCCACCAGAGGGAGGAGTACAATTTATTTAGTTTTTTTCCTTATTTGAAGAGGATTGGGTGCAACCACTGCCATGGGGTTGATTGTTATGTCAATTGAGAAATTGCCAAAACCTTTTTTTAAAGGCTGAAAACTGCTCTGAGCATGACGTCATAGTGGTACAATGATATTAAGGACTGAGACAAGAGCATATTAGACAAAAGCAAAACAGATTCCAGGTCTGTTTTTTATGGGGGAACATGGTTACAAGCTCAAAAAAGTTAGTTTCACTGTAATTCAACGAATGAGTCACACAAATCTTCTTTTGTCAGCACGTAGCAGCATTGGGCTAATCGTTTTCTCAATATGTCTGCAAATGGTGACATTATTCACAAACTTATGCATGATGTTAAGGACTTTCAGACATAAGAATAATATGGCAGGTTTCTGAATCTCATCACAATCAAATAATTATCTGGGGAAACATTCAGGCCTTTTCTTTTTCAACTTTTCTTGCCCTGCCCAAATTATTAACAAACTACTCTACAACAAGACTCCATCTTTGTGTTTTTGGTTAAAATACTTTTTTTAATTTTTATTGCTATCCCTAAATGTTTAGTTCATGTTGCAGGAAGAACAATGGACAAGTGTAGAGGTGCAAGGACGCATGTATTTATACTTTTTCAGAGCAATAAAACCTAAAAATGAAGGCTTGAATGTCTTTCTTTGAGTAATATTTATTATGATTATCAAATCTAAAACTCACTCGACATGTGACAGAAATGAAAGATCCCATGTGTTATTCTTCAATAGAGAATAAATTGTGTGTGTTACAAATGGAGCAGGGAGGTCAGTCCTGTTTAAGTGCTGGCTAATAAGCTGCAGCTGTCACAGTGGAGGGTTCTATTCCCCAGGGTACAGTGAAAGAGCCTGACCTCAGCCGGGGTCTTGATCATGCAGCTAAAACATATGGCCCCATATGCCTCTGAGATCTATCTACTATTGTGCTCAGAAGTATATCAGTATTCTGTTTCGGATTGTTGGAATTGTAACAGGCAAATGCAGACAACTAGAATGATAGAAATTAAATTCATTAGAGGCAAGAATCTGAGCAGCGATGTCCAGACTCTCTTGTCCCGGGCCTGATGCACTCATCCAGGGGATTTTTGAAGTGTTTCCAGGCCAGATGAGAAACATAATCCTCCAGTTTGTTGTGGGTCTTTCCTTGGGTCTCTTCCAAGTAGCACCTGCGGGCTTGGGGATAACCAAAATCTGTTTGCAGCAGTTCTGTTATATGTTCTGCTCTGTTTGCTCATAGGAGTAAAATGTTTTATGGATAAAAGTTTGGTTTTCAATGCATTCATTTTAGGAAAGTTCATCTTGTCCTTCATTTATTTTATAACAATGGGATGACAATGTAAAAAACTTGACATAATTTAGTGAATAGGATGTGGTAAATCCAACTGACTATTTCCTCCACATCCATCTGACAGCACTGCAGCAATGAGCTTCATTTTCAGAATATTAGCACTCTTCAGAACGACTGGATATCTTCACGAGTTGGCAGATAACAATATAAAAAGATACAGCGGCACATTAGTTTATATTTACCACAACAGAAGTAACTGAGTGTGAGGTGATAAAGAAAACAAATCCAATTAAGGCCGCAAGCGGCGTTGAACGGCCCTTGCCGCACCGCGCGACTCGCCGCACCGCGCGACTCCCCGCACCGCGCGCACCACCCCGTTCCACGCCGCCCCGCACCAAGCCACCCCGCACCAAGCCACCCCGCACCAAGCCACCCCGCACCACGCCACCCTGCACCACGCTGTCCCGCCTCACGCCGCCCCGCACCAAGCCGCAATGCGCCGCTCCACAACGCCCCGCACTACGCCGCACCACACCGTACCACGCAGCACCGCTCAAAGGAGGTGGCGCCGTTGTGTGATGATTTGTTCCCGTAGCCATAGAAGATTGTTAGTCAAATTGTAATGAATATGATAAGTAGAGCTGGTTTGGCTCCCCATGTAAACTTTGACTCAGTCTTTAGGGGGCGCTAATGGGCCAATTTCAAATATTTCACTTTCACCTGACCTAAACCCTGGAGTTGAACAATGGATTCAAGTTTAATGCAAATCAGTCTTTGTTTGTGCAAACGGGGAAAAAATGTATGTTGTCAAAAACGGCCAAAAAAACCCTCACATTTTGCCGCTCCGCTGCTCAAACGTTTCACTGATCAAAAATCCCTGAAGTCATTTTGAAGGTAAATGTGTTGAGATGATTTGTAACAATTTTGAGGCCAATCAGTGAAACGGCCGAGGAGGAGTCGCTTTCCAACCGACATGTATGAAAATGATTGCGGATCATTTTTCCATTTTGCAGTGAAATTTATGGGCCTCCTGTTTGTCAGAGGGCGGAGCCATGGTAACATTTCGGTTGTATCTTGACTTGAGGAACATGTGTACCGAATTTCATGGCTCTACGACAAACTTGACCTCTGAAACTCCCATTGGCTGTTGTAGGTGGCGCTGTTCTGGCATTTTTTGAGTATATATATATTATATAGATTATATATAAAAATAAACACCCAAATATCAAATTTTTCACCAGGTCTGATGTTTGGGCAAAATTTTACAACTTTTCATGCATGTTCAGGGGGTGAAATTAAGGCTCAAAGTGCAGAATTTGACATCTCTCGAGCAAAAACAATAGGCCCTTTCCCCGTTCGGGGCTCGGGCCTAATAAAAAACAAAACACTACAAAGTGGGGATTGCATTAGCCTGGCCTAGGCCTGACGTACACTCCGGTCAATCATCATTTTCCTGCATGTAATTTGTACTATGGTGTGGTACGACCAGGCTAGGATTGCATATGTATTCATATCAATACTTTGTTGAACCCCCTTGTAGATAGATGAAGCACTGCATCTATCTCATGTGTAAATGGACTTAGACTGTGTGACCTTAAACAAATATCATCGCAGCAATAGTTTCACATTTGAATAATCTTTTTCTTACATTCCCAAGATGGCCGCCGTCTCCGTGAACACAACAGAATCTCTCTAGCGTCAACTGCGCCTGCGCTTCACCAGTCAACGCACCGGACTCGCCTTCTTCTCATGCTTCTCAGAGGATTTGCTTTCAGTGGTGAAGTCGGTCAGTAAACACCTTTTCGGGTTTCAGTCCTCCCATTTCCCATCAGATAAACAACAAACACACCGAATCACGATGGAAAACGACCGCGAGCAGCTGGCCATGAAAGAAGCCCGGAGAAGGGAACGAACTTCAGGTGATCAACGAGCTTTTCACGTGTTCTGTCATAACGGTTGTGTATGTGTGCGTAATTACTACTGCATACACAACGAACAACGCTGCTTTCAGCTCTGTAGTCACTGTAAAGGAAAATAACAGATATAACGTTAGCCTTGTCACGTTAGCATTATCATAGTTCATGTAACGTTAGTTAGCTAGTGTGTAATGTTAGCTAACGTTTTTTGCACGCGCTTTCTCTCATGCTCAGAAGTTAAATGGGTTACAAGCCTATTTGTACCAAGAAAAGCTACGATTTTAGTTAGTGTTATATGCGTTTAGTGATATTATATGCAATAAATAATTAGCTTTACGTTGTTTGGTATTGAAAGTCAAAAGAACGAGCGTTACTATGGAAATCAGCTATCTTTTTATCAATACTTGTGACGTAGGGTTACGTCCTTTGACATTTCTACAATGGTTTACATGATCACGTGTTTTGTCTTCTTTGGGGGACTTTTCCCACATACATAGACAGATAGATATTTATGTGTTCATTTAAATGGCTACAGTCCTGTTTTCCAACATTCACTAAACTGTCTATCCAAACTGCCCCACGACTGCTGAAAACCAATCCCGTTGGTTTTCAAGAATTAATATGATGAACATTATATAGAATATATAGATATATATAGAATGTCTCAGGACCTTTTGTGATTCATCCAAACTGATCTTAACCGTAACCATAATAATGCATGTATTGTTAATAGACTCATAGGTTGTCTAAATCCACATGTTGACCCAAAGCAATCTCAACCTTAACTATAGCCCGTTTCCACCAGCCCTATTTGTCTCTGCCCGTCTCTGCTCTATTCTACTTGGCTCTACTCTACCCTAATGGAGAGCGTTTCCAACTGCTCTGTTTAATCGTTACCAGGAACTTTTTAAGTCCCTGCTTGGCCTCGATTCTATCCTGGCAGAGCTAGTGCTAAAGTGTTCTAACTGACAGTGGGTCGGGCTAAGTAGGGCTGGTTTAAACAGGGCTGATTACTATGAAATATCGCTAACCCTAATTACTAGCCGAGGTTGATCAATGTTTGCCCATTACTGCTATGTTGATAAACTCACACCCATCACTCAGGCCAAGAACATGTGGAATGCCTTGTCAGAAATAATTAATGAACAATATATATATATATATATATATATATATTTTTTTTTTAAATAAATGTCTAACATGCGAAAAAGCAGCTGGGGTTAGAAAATCATTGGATGGTTGAATAGACACTAAAGACTTCCGGGTAACTCAAAATTGGTATATTAACCACACCCTCACTTAAAAATGTGTCCTGGAATGCCTCTCAAACTGTTTTTTTCTGCTGCAGACTGAGGTGCTCACGTATGAGTTTGTTTGAAACACAGTTGCTGCATAATGACCACAGTACCATAATGACCTTGTAATGTTAGCAGTTTGTTAGCCTGTGGTTTAGCAACGTTGTCTACTGTCTTTTTTTACTGGAACGCTCAGAGGATGGTTGTTTTCAACTGGAAAATATCCCACTTCCTAGTCGCCTGGAAAGCAGCTATGTGTGTATAGCGGAGCAAAAGCAGGACATAATCATAATCAAAACAAATGTAATGTCAAACCCAGGAGCCTCTTGTGCTTTTCCCGGAAATTTCTTTAGATGTGCCTACAGTGGCAAAAGCTAAGATTGGTGCATGAATTTGAACTGTAAAGTACAGCATAGATTCCATCTCTTTTCATGTCTCAATTTATTTGAGATTGTATTGCAATTTATTTACTGACAACAAAGCCATATACTGACAATAAAAAAACGCAAATCGGCCTCAAACTTCTGTTCCTTACTTTCACTCTAGCCCCAGTCTCCAAACCAAATAAAGCATTTTAAAATATATTAGGTGTGGGAAGTTGGAGCATTCAATTCTTATCAAATCTGTAACAAACGTGGGAAACCAGAACTGGAACTTTTGCAAGACACTGTTTCACATTCCTGGAAGTGCATAAACCTCCTGTAAAAAATGTTCTCACTATATTCAAACATCCTCCTCCTGTATATTGTCCAACTGTGTTTTAACTTTGTCTTTAGGTCATGGTCTAAATGACATTGAAGGTATGAACCAAAGCCCAATGTGTGTGTGTGCATGCTACTTATATCTATTTTCTAACTCTTCTGATCATGATAATAAAGAAACTTGGCACGTGGTGGGTATATCATTACATTTTACCTGCTGCATGCTAATTTAGAAAAATGGCTTCAAACTGATTTAATTTGCATTTTGAACCCGACTGGATCCCATCCCTGATTTACGTGTGTGGACTTTTTCCGCTTCTTACTGAGTGAAATCATTCTCTGGTTTTGTAATGGCTCATGGCTGGCTCTAATTTCTAATTGTTTGCCATTGCTGGGAAACATACCATACAAGTTGTACATTAGTGGCTTTATTTGAAAGCCTTTAGGATGGTCTGCGCAGTTACTACTTCCGGTGGTAGGAAGGAAAAGTGGAGAAAATACAGATATACAGCTTTTTATCAACATGTTTTCATAGTCTATTTTTGAGACTTTAGATGGAAATGGAATCTGTTTGTTTTAGTGGTACTGTCAAACTTACATTGTATTTCTTGGGGCGGGGAACTTCAAAAGTTGTGATACACATTCAGTAAAGGGAAAACAGAAACATTGTGCGGAAATTGTGTTGAAGTACCACAATGCAATGGCTAAAGTTGAATTTACATTGGGTCACAAAACGTGCTGTGAAGAGGTTTTATGACTCAAACAAAGCTGAAAATGCTGCAGAAGGAAACAGGAATGTGTTTTTTGTATTCCATGAAACAACTGAGTATGTCGTTACTCGTCAAGTTGTAGATGTTCTCAACTTGCATCGCATCAGTTTGTCTGGGTCAAATTGATTAAATAAAATTCATCTTTTCTGAGCTACAGCTTGAATCAAGCTCGTCCCCTGATTATCATCAGGGGACGAGAATAGATTACTATATTCAAATCAAAATATAAATACATCTTCAATATATTGGTATTGTAAGACATATCGTATCGGGACCCATGTGAGTCATGCAGATCGTTACAGTACTTGAGAGACAAAGTAGTTAAGAACAGCCTTAAAGACCTTATGCCGGGTTTAAAAAAAAAAAAAAAAATTGTGGATCTCAAAATTGCATGACAATGTCAATCTGAAATAGATTCCGGCAAAAAAATTCCTATATTTTATAAAAAGAACGTGTTTTTCATGAATTCAAGCTGTCTATGCCAGGGATTAAAGAGTTCCGTCTAGGTGACGGATTTCCGTCAAATGAAATTGGTCTGGAAAAAAAACATATATATATATATATATAATGATAATAATACACACAATGAAATGATTGATTATAAAAATAATATATAGTAATACATATACGTGTGAATCTGTTATATATATATATATCAATGTATAATAATAATTTGAATATAATTGTATTTATATGTATATAGAAATAATAAGTAATATAATGACGAGTGGGCCTTGAACGTGCCGTGGCCACATGAGCGCTCCGCAAATGAATCAAGGCAATGGGACGTAGCTGAGCTCACGCGCAAATGAAGACGCGATGAAGTTAGCATTGGTAACACGGAGGTGAAAGTTTCTGGAAACTGCACGGAGCTTTTGAAAAGGAGAAGGGGAGGAAAATTGAATCTCGAACGGAGCAATAACAGCAGCAGATCCGCGGACTGGTAAGCTGGGCGCGTAATAGACGAAAGGTAATTAACGTTTACCAAACGCAATGCTATTTTACTTAACGGAATGTACAAAACGGACTTTGCTGCAACTGGGAATGGGTCACAAACATGTCTTGGTGAGCTTTTGATATTGTCTTGTTTGCGATCTTCTTGCAAAACTCAGCGTGATGTAAAAGAGCCAATCAACGAGTCATGGTGCGAAAAGATGAAAGTGGCCGGTGCTTGTGCGTACTTTGCCATAGAAAATTGCATATATGGGAGTAATGAGAAAAAAGTTTTGATTCGCCACCAGCTCAAAACTGCGCACAAGGCAGCTGTTTGTGCACTTTCCCACACTTCATCTTTACCTGGTGCATCAGCAACAACTGACACTAGGCTTGCTCTGGCAGACCGTGTCTGTGGCTTTATCGCAGAAAATAACGTTCAGAATATCACTACCGCTGGTACATTTATTTAAATCATTTGCAGTTGATCGAAGTGCACTGTGCACTCAAACTTGATAGGGAAACCTTTTTCTTAAATATTGACGTGTCCACAAACAAATGTGGACAGAATTTTATTGTCCTTTTGCAATATTTTGACGAGGACAGAGCCAAAGTGTTGACGCTCCATATCGCCTCAAGTAAAGCTACTCTCACTAATATTCTGTCAAAAAGTTGACTCGTTGCTTGATCCACTTATATTTCATATCAAAATACACTGTATATCTTTGAAGAATTCATTTGAGCTGTATTCAATATACAATCTATTATACAATAATATATTGTAATAAAAAATATAACTTGGTCCTGCATATTACTGTGATTTACATGTGATAAATTTCCATGCAAAAATTTTCAGTCAAATCTTTTTTTTTTGCTTTAACCCCTGGTCTATGCTCTAACCTGTGTGTGACGTCATAGCGGGTAACGCCCATGCATTGAAAACCATGGATCTATGCCACAGGACTGCCTTTTCTCTCTTCTCTCAACTGATGCCCAACACAATACTGCACTCTACAGGTGACAATTGCTCACTACACATAAATTGCCATTTTGAGAGTGAAAATGTGTCTGAGCTGGGATTTGAACCCCAGTATCTGGATTGGCAGTGCATCGACACAACCACTGGACTATCTCAGTACCAATGAAGTGTCACAATCTAGTAGTAATCTCATACTCGCTGTACACGCAAGTCCTCTTGAATATCCGCGAAAAAAGAACGAATACCAAATTGTAAACAACTTACAGCGTTGAAACGTACCCACTCTGACGTCACCAAGGGCTGTGAAGTTTTTTCCGTCTCTAAGGGCGTTGCTATGGGGTTATTTCGATTTGGGGGGATCAGACAAAAAAAACAACAACTGATTTTGAAACCTTTAGTAGTTCTCTTCTAATATAAAATGGTATTAAAATTGTATTTCTAAATAAATCAAACCCGACATAAGGTCTTTAAAATTAACTATTATTTTGTTGGTAATGGTATTAAAGGAGAAAAAAATAAAATGGACCATCACATGTGCTAACGTCACATATCATTGTTTTTTGTGGCTGGTGCTCAGACTGGACCACATTATTGTAGCACCGAACATGGCTTTCAGGATTTTTTTGAGGTTTTATTTCAGGAAGTGGAGGAGCAAACTCTAAGCTTTTGTGGTGTGAACATTTGAATTGGTACATGACATTAGACAGCCTTGTTATGGAAGACTTATTATTGGTCAAGTTCACTCTCTCTTGGCGAAACTCAAGAACACCAGCAGACTTTTGATTGAGCAGTGAATGTGCCGGTGAGGGTTCAGCAGTGGAAGCTCCAAAAGTAAAAGTTTCCCAAAGAAGAAAACGTCTGCACCTTCACGACTTGTCTAGTGTAATAAGGTGAAACGATTGCGTGCAAAAAGGTCTGAAGCATCAGAGGGGGTGGAGCTGTGCTGGGATTTCAGGTGAAGCTTCATAGACTCCACTTCAAACGTTGCTCTCCACTCTTGATGCCTTTAACCTTCTGGCACATTTTATCTGCACACAGACCCTCAGGTCACACTGGGACCTCAATCTGATGGTTATTGGCTGCTTTGTATCATAGCTCCCGTTGTTTTAGCTCCTCTGACTGCAGGAATTAAAAAGACTATAATGTTGCAGTTTGACTCATAATGAAACTTGTATAAAACTTATTGAAAGCCCAGATGTACTAATTTTCTTTAACTTAAAAGAACAAGGGAAAGCCACATGGGAAGATGAAGTTCTCACGGTGACAGGAAACTGAAAACTTTAGTGGTTTAATGAGCACCAAAACAATGCCAATGCAGGATGTAGTACCAGTTTCTGTGGTGGTGGGGGCTCTGGGGGCTGGTTTCAGTTTTTTCAATGTGATTTTGAATGCATTTTCTCCTCTGTGAATCATTTTGAATTCCTTTTATTCAAGTTTATTCAGATTATATTACAAGAGAAACAACTTCTTTTCATGTTTTTTTTTTCCTCCAATTTCCTTGTAGTCAAGCTTTGGTCCCTATAGGTATCTGTAGTCTCATGCCTTATATAGTATATTCAATATGATAGATGTCATAGATTTGCCTATTTAGTCATCCTCTGTTACATTTTGTCATTATTTGTGTTATTATGACTAGGGGTGGGAGCCTCAGGGTACCTCACAATGCGATACGATGTGTGATACAAAGCTCACGATAACGATTATCTCACGATATGACGATGCAGCGATTATTGATATAATGGTCAAAAATATGCCTACAATAATAATTTTCTCATATTTTTGGCATAAATTAAGTGAAAAAATACACTTTATTTTAAGATAAATGGATAAACTTCCTGCTGACTTCCGGTAAGCAGTACTGCAGGGCTGCTCTGTGCACCTTTTTAGTAAACTTTTAACAACTTTTTAGCGCGTTTTTATTGTTCAGTTTTTTAATATATCTGAGTGTTTTATGTTATTAATTCAGTGGTTTCAGCAAATAGCGCTTAGTCCCGACTGAAACCCACTAGTAGCACAGAAGCTAACACAAGCTAACGAGGACATGGAAAGTGACAATGAAATTGGCTCAAACATGCACAATATTAGTCGCCTCACCTTGGAGCTCCGTGAGAGCGACCGTGCCACCATTGCAGAACTACGAAAAGAAGTCCTTCGTCTCACCGCAGAGTTGAATGAGAAACAATCTCTAGTGTCCAAACTTTTTGAAGTCGCTGGTGGGCAGCATTCACGGCTTATGTCACTGAGTGCTGCATATTGTGACACTGTCGTGTGGGAGAGATCCGTCAGCTCCGGACCCTCCTGTTCTACACCTAAGCGCCCGGTTCCGAACAACGAGCCCGCGGATTCCGAGGAGCCATCCTGCGCCGTGGCCCATGTCCTTAGTCTGGCAAACCGCTATGCAGCCCTCTCCACCGACA